GGCCTTATATATCACGCCGGCCAGGAAATCCAACTTTCTGGCCTAGTATCGTAATATACTATTTTTATAATCTTCGGCAAAACCAAAAATCATGCTGAGTGGTATAGTGACATCAAAATAGCCATTTTCCAATACAAGTCTTGCATCAGCTGCCATTCTTAAATACCCAGCATTTTCAATAAAATTTAACTGTGTAGGAGTTTGCGAGACATAATTTTTCATAATTGTAGTATGTCCAACGTTTTTGCATCGATCTATTTCAATTCCATTTAGTTCATAGCGAATTTCATCAAACAAAAAACATACAGCATTATTACTTAAATGCACGTTTTCCGTAAGAGTATTTCCATCATTTTTAGCTAATCAACCAAAAATATGTAATGAACTTTTACTAGGTAAAATGCACAAGTCTTGATGTTGTACTGCGATTCGAATTTCATCACTATTGTTAAAAGATGAAGAAGCATACGGTTGATGAGCATGAATTTCATAATGAGCTATAGACTCATCAAAATTCACTGCTGCTGGAATATTGAGAAGCTCGTCCATTTTTGTTGCAACAGCACCCACAAAATATGTAGATTAATTGTCTTGTTTTGGTTTTTTCTTTCCTTGAACTTTCAGACCTAGTTCTTGAAGAAAGAGACGATTCTGTGGTGTTAACACCTTGTAAGATGACTTTAGACTGATTTGACTCTTGCATGTTGGCTGACTTTTATAGTTTTCACCAACAACATCTCTTTGATTATAAACAATTCCCATTACAAAGACTTTATATGCAATCGAATAGTTATAGTTTCTCCTCTAAAATTTATTAAATCACCATCCTGGTCGACAATTCGCAGCTGTATATTATGTATTGTCTTGGTGGAAATCGGAAGATAAATGACGTGAGCAGGCACTTCCACAATCTTATATCCAGGTGGAACGCTAGGGAAGAATTCATGGATAGTGTGGACTTTTTGATTGTTTATGTATGCTCCAGATGTTATATTGCACTCAATTCTAACTGAATTGACCTTTAGAATAGCTACAGGTAAATCAGAAGTATGTGCTCTATGAGGTGCTAGATGCTGCGATGTAAATCCCAACAATTTACCAATCGTGTCAATAGGTTTAAAATAAATTGGCAAATTTGATTGAACTACACTGCGCAATGTATTATTATTCGGTTTTATACTAATGACAGTTCCGATTTCTACAGAATTTTGTATATAAGATTCAATGTCTTTAATTTCATAACTTCCAGTTGCAATATGAATTATTTGATTTCCAATGTCAAACTTATTATTTCCTCTATCGATATTAGGAATTGAATTAAAAGTCAACAATTCAACAAGACCAAGTACATAACTTTTATTTGAATTTAGTTCTATTGGAGGGAAATATTCAGCTTCAAGAACTGACGAATTTCCCGTTAACGTTAAAGTAAATGAATCACTCATCTTGCTATCAGATTTTATACTGAAAGCTTACAATAGTTACACACTTTTATATAGGTTAAAGCTACTCTTAATATTTAGTTGATTACATAAAAATTTAAGACACAAGTGCCCACAAACAAATGTATCATAATTTTGAAATCTTTCATGATTATATTTTATTAAGCTACCATCACCTAGATAAATGACAAGATCTGTTGGAGGAGCAAGGTTACCAAAACTATCAAAATACATTGTTTCATTTCTAAATTTTTTATATGCTACCCAATATGTTCCAGCACCTTCTTTATTATCAAGATTAATTATTCCTGATTCACACTTGTTAGGACTACTAATAGGTAGTTCATTTCGCATAAAAACACCGCGAAAATATGGTATTTTTATAGTTTTGGCATACTTCAACAAATCAAAGTCAGTTAATGGACGATGAGGTAGCTTCAGAACAAGTTTTTTTTCCTTCTTGTTATTCTCTTCTTCCTTGATGCTCGTTTTTTCTTTCTCGGTGCTCGTTTCTTTCGTTTTCCAATTCCTTTTCCTTGAGTGTAAGGTTTAAGATGAAGACCAAGTCCTTGCCGATAAGGTTTAAGGTGTAATCCTTTTCCAAGCGATATAGCTTCAATTTTTTTATTGTGACGTTGAGCTTCTGAAAGCTGTTCACTGGCTGTTTTAGCCTTATTAACAGCCCTTGCTATTCCTGAAACTCCTCAAGCAAGAGCTCCTAAAGCACTAAGTCCAGCAAAAATTGGAACAAGCGGTAGAATTCCACCTACTTTAGTAGGTACAGGAAGATTTCGAGGTGATAAAATTTTAGATTTACCACCAACATTTTTTATTGCTTTTCGTGCACCAATCATAGCTGCTCGAATTGTTTCTTCAGCATTATTACTGGGAACCATACTTTTTCGCGCAGCATCGACAATTTTCCTTAGTGCTATTCTTTTCTTCTTACATATTGTTTTTCTTTTTTTCTTTCTTATGGATGATTTTCTCCTTCTTTTTATCCCCATACCTAATTTAGATTTAGTTTTCATGGTTCCGGAAATAGCTAAAGCAGCTGCTCGTTCACTCACACTAGAATTTTTAGCTGTAACACGTTCCCACGCTTTCTTAGCTAATATTTTATCTGCTTCGTTTCTAGCATGAATATTTTCTCGATTTTGCGAATATGCAATGTCGTGTTGCTTACAAGCAGCGTCTAATGGATTAATTCCTTGATCACCTCGAGACAAACGCTTTGCTAACTTTGTACCAGCCCCACAGAATTGGTAACCTGGTAAATGTAACTTGAACAGTAAACTATTGATTATACGATTGATTAAACCTTTTCCTTGATAGCGTTCTTTTTTCACCTCTTTATGCAGAATCATTCTTCACTCTACAAAGGTTGTCGTGAAACTGACAAAATGACTATATAAGCTAGGTATTTATACATTTTAGGGTAGTTACTGTCAAGATGCAGTTCACGAAACAACCTGTCATGCTGCCAATAACTAGTATAGATATAGAAACAAACAAAAAAAAGATTAAACGTCATGGTAGTCTGTTTTCAGACAGCATTCGAGCTGTTTTCTGTGGTCCCTCAAATTGTGGTAAAACAAATGCTCTTCTTTCCCTAATAATACATCCAAATGGTCTGAGTTTTGAAAATATTTACCTCTACTCTAAATCTCTACAGCAACCGAAATATAAGTTTTTGGAAAATGTCATCGGTAACGTGAATGGTGTTGAGTACTTTCCATATAGTGAACATGAAGAAGTAGTATCTCCAAAAGACGCTAAACCAAATTCAATATTCATTTTTGATGACATTGCTTGCGAAAAACAAGATAATGTTAGAGCTTTCTTTTGTATGGGTAGACATTTAAACGTTGACAGTTTCTACTTGTGTCAAACATACGCTCGTATTCCAAAACATCTAGTTCGAGATAATGTAAATTTATTGGTTCTATTCAGACAAGATGAAAAGAATCTGAAACATGTTTATGAAGATCATGTTAATACAGATATGAGTTATACTCAATTCCGCGATTTATGTTCAGAATGTTGGAAATCGGACAAATATGGATTTGTTGTTATTGATAAGGACCGTAATTTTAATGAGGGAAGATATGGAAGAGGTTTTGATTGCTTCATTACACTATAAATATAAGAACTTTATTGAATTTTTAATTAGTGTAGTTTATATTGTCACTAAGAAAACATGTATAGAAAAGAGCAAGAAACACTTCGTCAAATAGCAAAAGCAAGTGATGCTATTAGGCGAAAACATCGTTTACTCAAGATGGGTAAAGAGGCTGCAGAAACAGTTTTTAAAGAAACTCTTCAACCTATAGTAACACCTCTTAAAAAGTTGGTTAAAGTAAATGACATACCTTTCAAAAATGTTAAGAAAGAAAAAGTAAAAAAAGAGGAAAATGATTTTTCTTTCTCTACTGCAGTTGATGAGGAGGAGGAATTTGATAAAACACTACTCAATGACACTCTATTTGATAAGAGTACTAATTTTGAAAAAGCATCAGATGAAGATCTTAATTATGAAAATTTGACAAATAAATTTATTACATTATTGAATAAAAACAGAAAAACTTTTTTAGACATTTTGGTTTATGGAGTACGTAAGCTGCCTAATGGTACTTTTATGATTGGAGATACACGAGTTGATTTAGAAGGTCCTCATATTCGACTAGCTAGAAAGAAAAAATATTTAAAAACTACTGGGTTGATTGAACTCTTATTTAAACAAAGAGCTAAACAAGAATTAATAAGTCAAGATGATTTAGAAAATTATAAAGAAATTCTTGAAGCTACAAATGCACATCGAAAAATTTATAGTTCCAGTGAACCTGTCAACATAAACAGGAGTTCTAAATACATTGATATAATTGCAAAACTTTTTAAGAGTACACCAAAAAAGGGTAGAGGTATTTTTGAAGGGAAGAAGAAGAAGCTTGGAAAGAAATTACCTCAATTTATGATTACAAAGAAACAATTTAACCCAGACTACATCTATTGGGATGATCCCAATGAACTAGTTGAACGATTACGTCTGCTAGTAGCATCGCAGCAAGCTGGAAATCCGAGCCACAATAATGAAATTATGTCAATTATTGAAGAACTACGTGAAGCTCGCATTATATATTAGAAGAGTTCAAGCAAATAAAGCTTAGTATTAAAATGAGCATTGATGTGTTTGGACATCCTTTGTCACGACCTACTGCAAGTCGTGGACAACCTGAACCTTCTGGAATTGGTTTACTCCAAATGGACAATACGATATTGATAACAAAAGACTTTGCAACGTGCAAGACGCTGAAGAGCAACACGACGCAGTAAATTTAAGACAAGTAAAACAAATTGTTAAAAACGAAATAAAAACTGTCTTTGCAGTTACATCATCTTCAAGATCAGCTATTGATGACTTGAATATTCTTATACAATCTATCGAGGAAAGAATTAACGAAAAACTTAAGCAGATTGAAACTGATTTACAACTTGAATTACCTTTTCAAAACGCTAAATACATCGCTAAATTGGATTCACGTTTATCAAACCTTGAAAATGGACAATGAAAAGTTAACTGTTGTTAAAGAGTTGCATAGACAGGCTAGAAAAAATTATCCTCGTCGAAAAGTTCAAATGCGTGGCATCGATGAAACCTGGCAAGCAGATTTGGTTGAAATGATACCTTATTCTTATTCTAATAAAGGTTTCAAATACATGCTCACAGTTATAGACATATTTTCCAAATATGCCTGGGCTGTAGCTGTAAAGAGTAAGAATGGAAAGGACATTTCTCTAGCCATGAAAACTATTCTAAAGCAAGGCAGAATTCCAAAAAATTTGCACACTGATAGAGGAAAAGAATTTTACAATTCTGAATTTAAGAGTTTAATGCAAGAATTTAACATTAATCTCTATTCTACCTATAGTAATTTAAAAGCCTAAATTGTTGAAAGATTTAACCGCACTCTGAAAAATATGATGTGGCCTGAATTCAGCTTACAAGGCAATTAATTACAAATGGATAAATCTTTTACCTACGCTCATATCAAAGTACAATAATAAAAAGCATCGTACTATTGGTATAAAACCCAAAGATGTTACCGTAGAAGATACAAGAGAACTGCTGAGACGTATCCGTAAACTACGAAAAATTCCGCTGAAAAAATCAAAATTTAAAAGGAGATAGAGTTCGAGTCAGCAAATTTAAAAATATTTTCGAAAAAGGATATACTCCCAACTGGACAACGGAAATATTCACTGTAGACCAAGTCAAATCGACAAAACTAGTTACATACAAGCTGAAAGATTACCAAAATCAACCCATCGAGGGTGGTTTCTATGAGGAAGAACTGGTGAAAGTCCAGTATCCAGATGTTTACCTTGTTGAGAAAGTCCTGAAAACTCGTGGTAATGATGTCTATGTAAAATGGCTTGGATTTGATAGCTCGCACAATAGTTGGATAAAAAAATCTGATATGTAATATAGTTAAAGTATTGTTAAAGTAACGTTAAAATAAGTTAAAGAAAAAAGTTAAAATAAGATAAAGTAAAGTTAAAATTAGTTAAATTAACGTTAAAGTATAGTTAAAATAAGTTAAAGTAATGTTAAGAAAAGTTAAAATAAGTTAAGATAAGTTTAAAAAGTTAAAATAAATCCATGTAACTAGATTAACGTTTATTTAAAATAAAGAAGACATAAAATAAAATGAACATCTTTTATTCAAACAATCAATTCCTTCCTCTCTCTTTTTTTACAATGCTTCATCATCTTCCATAATTTCTGCAATTTTACAATGCCCCCATGCTAGGGTGTCGGTGCTGTTGGCTAACAAAAATCTTTTATCATCGAAAGGACTCCACGGTGAGCTTGGACTGACTTCAACCCAAAAGGTTCTCCACCTCCCATTTTTTTCTAATATTTTTTCGGTGATGCCTGACGATTATTTTAAGACATAAAAGAAAAAAATCGCCCGAGGGAATCTCAAATAAACTCAATTATTCGATTTTTTTGCTAGGTTATTGAATGAATTTCGTCCACGATAGCACTTACAAAGTTCAATTTCATACGGAATCTTTCTATTTGCGCCAAAAAAGAGTTCTATAGTAGAAAACACTGGTAACTACTTTAAAATCCTGAAAAAATTCAAAAAATATTGGAAAATTAGGGGTTATCATCAATTTTTCACAAATTTCTCAACTAGGAGGAATTTTACAGAAAAACGGGTTATAGACAAATAAAAGTACATTAAATCTTGAATGAAACAAAAAAAAGAGAATCCATTTATCTTCTATAGTTTCGAAAATATCTGCATTTGAACTTTATTTTTAGCAAAGAAAACCATGTATGACTTCTTTCAGTTAAGGTATTTCACTAATAGTTTGATTTTATGAATCGTAAGTAATAGTTAAAATAACATGATCTTAAATTAACTCAATTTCCAGCGATTCAAGAGAGATGCAATCAATTCATCTCTTGTATATGCAAAGTTATCATGCTTACAATTAATGCAATTTCTCGTAAAATCCTACTGTCTCAAAAGCTTCTATTTTCTGTTCTTACAATTAAAGTATTATTGTTTCCATGGTAACTATTCAACTTTTAATTTGTTTTCTCTTTCTTATTTATTATTTATTCGAAATGTTTACTGTCACTACTTTATGAGTATTTTTAAAAATGCCGAAAGCAGGCACGCATTGGGACAATCGACTGAAAATTTGTTTGCTATGTTTTGGAAAAACGAAAGTTATGGTACGCATTCAAGGCAAGTTGAAAGATCGCTTGGAAGCAGAAGAAAATCGAAAAGCTCGTAAAATCCTACTGTCTCAAAAGCTTCTATTTTCTGTTCTTACAATTAAAGTATTATTGTTTCCATGGTAACTATTCAACTTTTAATTTGTTTTCTCTTTCTTATTTATTATTTATTCGAAATGTTTACTGTCACTACTTTATGAGTATTTTTAAAAATGCCGAAAGCAGGCACGCATTGGGACAATCGACTGAAAATTTGTTTGCTATGTTTTGGAAAAACGAAAGTTATGGTACGCATTCAAGGCAAGTTGAAAGATCGCTTGGAAGCAGAAGAGAAGAGAAAACAAATTAAAAGTTGAATAGTTACCATGGAAACAATAATACTCTAATTGTAAGAACAGAAAATAGAAGCTTTTGAGACAGTAGGATTTTACGAGAAATTGCATTAATTGTAAGCATGATAACTTTGCATATACAAGAGATGAATTGATTGCATCTCTCTTGAATCGATGGAAATTGAGTTAATTTAAGATCATGTTATTTTAACTATTACTTACGATTCATAAAATCAAACTATTAGTGAAATACCTTAACTGAAAGCAGTCATAAATGGTTTTCTTTGCTAAAAATAAAGTTCAAATGCAGATATTTTCGAAACTATAGAAGATAAATGGATTCTCTTTTTTTTGTTTCATTCAAGATTTAATGTACTTTTATTTGTCTATAACCCGTTTTTCTGTAAAATTCCTCCTAGTTGAGAAATTTGTGAAAAATTGATGATAACCCCTAATTTTCCAATATTTTTTGAATTTTTTCAGGATTTTAAAGTAGTTACCAGTGTTTTCTACTATAGAACTCTTTTTTGGCGCAAATAGAAAGATTCCGTATGAAATTGAACTTTGTAAGTGCTATCGTGGACGAAATTCATTCAATAACCTAGCAAAAAAATCGAATAATTGAGTTTATTTGAGATTCCCTCGGGCGATTTTTTTCTTTTATGTCTTAAAATAATCGTCAGGCATCACCGAAAAAATATCAGAAAAAATTGGAGGTGGAGAACCTTTTGGGTTGAAGTCAGTCCAAGCTCACCGTGACTCAGAGCAATTTTTGTTTGTTTTAAAGTCTGAACATTGTGAAGGTTTGATCTTATACAATATTGCGTTCTAGATTGAATTTTTAAATTTTGTAAACAATACACATAATCATCAAAGTCTATGTCCTTCTTAACAACTACAGCTTTCACACCTTTAGCCTTTTTTATAACATCTTTGTTTTCAACTCGCACACTGTACATCTTGCTCCGCAAGCCAACAAATTCATGAACTTTCTTGTGCTATTTTTATTTTAAAAATTTTTTTTTAATTTCGTACAGAAATTTTTGTTTAAAAGTTTAAACTCTTAATATCTCAAAACACCCCCCGTTAATTTTTATCAAAATTATATGAAAATAAAGCTTAACGTTTCTAGTTTCCATTCCCGTATAATATATTATGGACATTTAATGGGATTAACCCATTAACGCCCAAATGACCAAAATTTTTACATGGACTTCAATACACGATTTGAAGTATTTATAGACAATAAATTTTAGCAGCAATGAGATGTAGGGGGTTTTGGGGGTCGCTCTTTCAGATTCTGGGATCAAAATAGCGATTTTATCAACACAAAATCCAATATGGCGGCTATTTTGAAAAAAACACAAAATAATAAGTACATTTTTTAAATATTTTTTTTCAGAACTAAAAAATTTTTTTAAACCTTTCTTAAGTATGCCACTGGTGGGCAAAATAGTTGTACTTTCAAAATATAAAATAGAAAAATTCTGATTTCAAAATGGCGGATTCAAAATTTTGAAAAAGTAAATGCAATATGGTAAAAAAAATCTAAATTTACACCAACATTTAAAAAGTTTGCAAATTTGATTCAAAATGAATACTCGGGGGTTTTTGGGGTCGCTGATGACGAATCCGATGTCAGTTTTCAAAAATTCAAAATGGCGGATCCAATATGTCAGTCATTTTTTTTTTAAATTTTTGGATTCGCTTGAAACTTGTCACTCGGGGGTTTTAGGGGTCGCTGATGACGAATCCGATGTCAATTTTTAAAAATTGAAAATGGCGGATCTAATATGGCGGACATTTTTTTAAAAAAATTTTGAATTCGCTTGAAATTGTCACTCGGGGGTTTTAGGGGTCGCTGATGACGAATCCGATGTCAGTTTTTAAAAATCCATAATGGCGGATTCAATATGGCAGACATTTAAAAAAAAATTTGGATTTGCTTGAAACTTGTCACTCGGGGGTTTTAGGGGTCGCTGATAACGATTCCAATGTCAGTTTTTTAAAATTCAAAATGGCGTATCTAATATGGTATATCGTGGAGATCCACTTCACCCATGAACTTATTGGAAAAGTGAAATGCGTTAGGAAATATCAATGGAATTTAAAGTTTTGCTCTCTTTCCTTATAGCTGTTCTATGAAACCGGCATTTGTAAAATTTGTTCTACTTTTATGATAAAAACAACACGTGGCGAGAGTTGAAAACGCTAATAACATAGCGGCTAAAAGACGAAATAAAATTGTTCTGACTAAAATGTTTCAAATGGATCCAAAAAATTTTAAAAAAATGTCTACCATATTAAATTTACTATTTTCAATTTTAAAAAACTGACAGCGAATGCCTCATCAGCGACCTCTAAAACCCCCGAGTGACAAGTTTCAAGCGAATCCAAAAATTTTAAAAAATTTAAAAACTGACAGCGAATGCCTTATCAGCGACCACAAACACCCCCAAAAGACATGTTTTAAGCGAATCCAAAAATATTTTTTAAAATGTCCGCCATATTGGATCCGCTATTTTGAAGTTTTAAAAATTAAGATCGGATTCGTCATCAGCGACCCCTAAAACCCCCGAGTGACAAGTTTTAAGCGAATCCAAAAATTAAAAAAAAAATGACTGACATATTGGATCCGCTATTTTGAATTTTTGAAAACTGACATCGGATTCGTCATCAGCGACCCCTAAAACCCCCGAGTGACAAGTTTCAAGCGAATTCAAATTTTTTTTAAATGTCCGCCATATTGGATCCACCATTTTGAATTTTTAAAAACTGACATCGGATTCGTCATGAGCGACCCCGAAAACCCACAAGTATTCATTTTGAATCGAATTTGCAAACTTTTTGAATGTTGTTGTATATTTTGACTTTTTTTACCATAATGCATTTACTTTTTCAAAATTTTGAATCCGCCATCATGAAATCTAAATTTCTGTATTTTATATTTTGAAAGTACAACTATTTTGCCTACCAGTGGCATACTTAAGAAAGGTTTAAAAAATTTTTTTAGTTTTGAAAAAAAATGTTTTTAAAAATGTACTTATTTTTTTGTGTTTTTTTTTAAATAGCCGCCATATTGGATTTTGTGTTGATCAAATTGCTATTTTGATCCCAGAATCTGAAAGAGCGACCCCCAAAACCCCCTACATCTCATTGCTGCTAAAATGTATTGTCTATAAATACTTCAAATCGTGTATTGAAGGCCAAGTAAAAATTTTGGTCATTTGGGCGTTAATGGGTTAATAGAAAAAAAATTGTTCAAAAAACAAATGAAAATAAATTTTATTTGTTGAAACACTCGTAATTTTTTTTAAATAAGCAGGAGCAGTATTAAATTTTGAAAAAATTACTTACTTGCATTATTTAATCGTAGAAACAAAAAGATCTTAAAATT